TAAGGCTATAGTTGAAATTGAAGCAAGTATTAACATTGGGTATTAACAAATATTAGATTTTAATTAATAAGATTATGAATTGATTCAATATGCTATTGACTAATGATAAATTGTATCAAGTAGTGTTTATAGAAAGTTTATAGACTTACAGGAAGTTATTGAAACAATAACAAACAGGTCCTTCTGAACAATCTATATGGTACCAGAGGGGGGTCAAAAATAAATATTTGGCATTCACATGAAAGACAGATTATTGAACCAACAATACTTTTGAATATTCTCAATCCAAATGCGCAATGGTATTAAACCAGTGCGCAAAGGGGGGAGTAAGAGTAAGGTAAGGAAATTAAAATTAAGGCAAAATTTATTTAATTAAGAATAAGGAAATTAAAGGTGCTCGACGTAACTTTTAGCGGCCTCTAGTGGTGATGTTTCAGATTGCAACCAAATTTTACAAGAGCGCTCGTGCTCGAACTCATAGACAATACCGTCTATTACGTAAATATCTCGGCGAATACTAGACGGATTCGGCGAGCACCGAGCTCGTTGGGACCATCTAGTCGAGCTGAAAAGAACCATATAAGTTCCGTAGTTTTTGGTGGTGTTTTCGCGGAGATATTAGCAGAAAACCATCGGGCGCGCTGCAAAATTGCGGACGCCGGTGACGTCACGATCTCAGAAGAAAATCGCTCGTATCTCTGGAACGCAAAGACCCAGAGAGCTCAAATTCGGGGGAGGAGGTCCCAGGGGAACCCTTGCCCGAACGCTAGAGTGGCGGGCCTCGGGGATGCCCCCTACCGGATCGCCGTTCGCTGGGACCCCCGATTTCGAACGGCTATAACTCGGGGAGCCGGGCGAGTTGGACCTCGGGGGTGGGCTCGTTCGAAAGGCCCCGTCCAGCACTACGAACGATTAGAGTCTTGGGAATATTGATCAAAGATTGACTGAGATATAAGCCGAAAAACGTGCGCCTTTAACCGGACGTAACTCCCTGACCGTCTACAATAGACTGTATATAAGGAGAGAGGCTCGGGAGCGCGCATGCACGTCACATCCGTTGGATTTGGTGGTAAATCCGACCCGGAGACTTCACATAGAAATAGGAATACTGGCCTTCAGAGGTAATGGCAAAACTCGACAAGTGGATCATTTTAGTGTGTGATTACAACCCCTTCACACACAGGCAATAAAAAAAGGATTCATTTTAGTAGAAAAGTTACATAGAGCACCTTTAAATTAAAATGAAGTTAAAATTAAAGGCATTTTAAATTAAAAGGCATTTTTGCAAAGTTTTGTGAAATTTGTGGCAAAAACAAAGAAAAGAACAGCGACAAAAATAGGCCGTATGTCAGTATACCAGAAGAACTATTAAAACATTTGGTAAGGAATATGTGGACATGATATAGATGGGTAAAAGCAATGAAATCAACAGAGGAGGGGCAGGAGCAGAAATTAAATCTCTAACAGAGAAGTAATCCTTAGATTGGAAGTCTATCAGAAATAAGGTCAGATAATGGGTAAGCTAAACAGAAGTATTGAAGATTAAAAATAAGTTGCATACGAATACAAGGAAGTTTTAATAATAAGGAAATTATGATGCCAATGGTTTAACTGGTTGATATTAAAACCCTTTGATTGTTAGATATACAGAAAACGAAATGTACATATAAGGAATATGTAAGAGTGCAAATAGTTGTTCTCCAGAGTTATTTTTCTAATTGTCTAAAGAGTTTATTGAATGACTTTTATGATGTAATTGTAACATTGCTCTGAAGCTTTCTTAGCTAGAGTGATTACATGAGACATAATTAGTTTATTCATGATGGTTTATTTAGAAATTAGTAAAGAAGAAAAGGTATTCAGTTAAGGTAGTCTTGAACTGAAGAGCTACAATGAGAATAGGAAGCAACACGCGAGATTAAAAAAGTCAAAAAGGTATTTATTGTTTAAATTTGGAAATGAAATTGACAGAATGTGAAATGTAAAACTTTATAACAACTATTAAAGTGTATTGCGATTAATTAAATAGAAGATTCACTAAAGTGTTCTGTTCGTTCATCAACTAAAAATGACTGACTAAAAAGATTGATTCTTCGAATTTAAGAATTGATATTGCTTCATAAAAATAAGAAGCGATTAAAAATAGGAAAGAGGTATTTTTACCCAGCCATATTTTGATCCCATATTAATATGTATCATGCGAAACAAAAATGCAGAATGAATCAATTAGACTACTATAATCAGCAGAGATTTATTATAATGCTTTGTCTACATTAGGAGAAAAACAATTATGAGAAAAAAGTAGAATGATTTATGTTAGGAGATCAGTGTTGCACTTTTCCCAAATAAAACTGCAGGAAGGAAAATTTAGCGAACACATCATTAAAGGTGCTCTAAGCGATGTCACGCATTTTTTAGGCCAAAACTTTTTTTGTCACATACAGCAAACATCTCCTCACTATCCGCTAGTTGCCTGTCCCCAAAACGCGGTCTCTGCAGACAGCCCAGGCTCCACAAACGGCAACAAAAACAAACTGGGCTTACCCGCACCACGAAACATAACAAACTGTTCCAGCCAATGACCGACAAGAAGGGTTTGGGGGGTTAGTGTGCGGATGAGGAGGAGGGAGGGTCTAGCTAGCCTCCGTTTTGTTTGACAATAGTTTGAACGTCAACAAGAAGTGACGTCACCCAGGATCGCTTAGAGAACCTTTAAGTTAAAAAACCTTAAGAGCAGAAGTTAAGGAAACCGTGATTTAAACTTTGGAACACTGGGAGCATGGTTTGCAAAATTAGGAATGTTCTTAGGTGTTGCAATATTAATTGGAGGGTTATTATTCTGTTGTGTACTTCCCATATTAGGATCACTAGTTGTCAAAACCACGGTTAAGCAAATGGAAGTTTTAAAAATGTCAAAGAAAACGGAAAGATAAGTTTAGAAGCCAACCAAAGTATGTATTTTCAGGATTACCCTGAAAAAACAAAATGGATACTTACAAGCATTGGACAATGATTCGAGTACCTCAAATGAGGATGAAGAAGATGATTGATAAGCCAGACCATGGGTGTATGTGCTAGCATAACCTCTCCCCAGAAGGGTGACCCTCTACGATGCGCAAAGTCTCTGGGTCGAAGAAGATGTCTACACTGCAAGAAACCTTTTAATAGTATAATGTATTTTTATGTTTGACATTTTACATAACTGTGACAATAACAGGCAATGCTGAACCAACTTTATCTTCACGCTTATAACAATGTTTAATGTTAGGGAGGATTTGAGTCTTTTACTTTCTCCATTGAAAAAAAAAAGAAAAAACAACTGAAAGAAAGAAAAATGTATGGAGAGAGATGTTTGGCTCGAATGGTCCTCCGGAGTATGGTGGCATAATTCAGTCATTTTAAAGGATGGGTGACGTGATTTAGTCACTAGGTAGCATAACTGAGGGGGCAGGATTTTGAAACTACACGCTGGAAAAGGATAGTGAATGTGGGGGGCTTAGATAAGCCCCAGAGGAGGGAATGTTGAATATTTTATTATTTAGAAAACAAGTAATTTAGCCTTATAAGAATACACAGTTATTTCTTGTATGAGTCCTCTAAAAGGACTCTGTCTAGGTGACTTTGAAAGCTGCAAGACCTTCTGTAAAAAAAGATCCTGAATGTCAATTATATTCTGAGAAGTCACATGGTACAAGACCTTTACCTCAAAATATCTATAAGTGTATGGCCATCTTTGGAAAAGGATGTATGTATATAACTCTGAATCCCAAAACACTCGGGAGCGCTAGAAGGCCGAAGGGCCAGAGCGTTAGAACGCCGTTCTATGGAACGGAACGGCGTTCGAAAATAAAGTCTAATTATTTCTGGCATCAAAGATCTCTGCGAAGTTATTTTACAGAACAATTGAAACCACTTCACTCCACACCCCTTCAGCATTGGACGTGGCGGAGTGTCCGATGCTAGGCCTATCACTCGTATGCATTGTGAAACTTGTGCTAGGCTGGGTCCATATATTGCGATCCCTAAGGCGATCCAATATGTCTATTCTTCCAGGGTGCGGCGAGCCCGTGTCTTCCCTTGGCAGAGCCCGCTCTGCCATCACTGATCGGTTGCGTCTCCCCCCTGTGATCGCCTGGAGCCACCCCAGTGACATTTCCTATGTTGTAATGACCGCTAAGTTCACTCAGTCCATATGTGTGATTCTCCACGTTATCTCCCTACGGTCAGGATGTGGCCTCGGCAGCATATGCCTTCCAATGAAAGGTAATGCTTTCCCAGTGGTCCTGTGGAACAGCAGGTATTTCCCTGGCCTAAGCCCTGTCCTATCTCCACCTCAATATGCGGTAGGTTCAGGAGGCTTTGTCTAGGCACTGGAAGGTAGCAGCACTAGTGGCGTTTTAATTGGGATCCCAATCAGTCGTAACGTACGACTACGTCGACCATAATGCCATCCATAATGCTATCGGGTAATGCTTATGACAGATGCATCTCTCACAGGCTGGGGATCGATCATCAGTGGTCGCTCAGCACAGGGTCTGTGGTGGGGGCCATCATCGTTCCTGGCATATAAATTGCCTGGAGATGATGGCTTTCTTTCTAAAATACCTGTTTTATTACTGCCATATAGTGGCCTCTGTGATAAACCATATCTCATGTAAGAGCAACACAAAAATCAGCTACAGTTGTGGTCATAAGTTTACATATCCTTTGCAGAATTTGCTAAATGTTAATAACTTTAAAAAAAAAAAAAGAGAGATCATAAATAGTCATTTTGTTTTTTATTTAGTATTTTTCTCAAGAAAGGTGGACAGTTTAACTGCTCAGGTCAAACAAGGGCCTCGTGAATAACTATCATAAAACAAAAACAGTCCTCCAGGTAACGACACAATATGAAGAATCAAGTGAATGTGAATTCTTGAATTGGGTCATTTGTGTAAATTCAGTAATCAGGGAATTGTTTCTAAACCACTGTTTGATGAAAACACTGAAAACATGATAATCTCGAGTGATTGTAAGTGTGATGATCATCTGCTAAATGAGCAACAACGACCACAATTCACTCCTTCAGTCAGTGAAGCTCCCACAGCCGTTCATGAGAGTTTAAATGCTGGGGAATATTCCCATCTTCCCACAGGAGAAGAAGCAGCAAGCAGGAGGAATTACTCCAGGAGAAACTACGGACATACTATTGTAAAGATGGAGATTAAGGAAGAACCCTGCAGAATAAAAGATGAAGATACAGAGGAACAAATAGGTTGGTGTCCATTCTTGACACTGAACATGGAAACTACAAGACTTATTAAGACTACCATTAAGACTAAAATAACATTAACTAGACAGATATGAAAATACAAGATCAGTTTGGGAAAATCCATTTGTAGTCACAGAAGAATTGTAGATGCATTTCTTGTATTTTCATGTCTTATAGTTTGTTATTTTAAGATGAGTTTGGGGAAATGTATCTTTCAGTGTTAAAGCAGTTGCCAAGATTTTATGACATTATAATTGCAGAAGTAGATACCTGATAAATAACCTCAAATAATACCTGAGCATGGTTGCTTTTTTTAATTTCAATCTTGAATTGTCTATTTTAACATGTTTTAGGTCTGATGGAACAAAGTGAAGTGGAGGAGAAACTCCATCAGTTTCAGAAACCTCAACAAAACACTCAAAGAAGAGGAGAGAAATGTTCTTGCACCTGCTCTCAGTGTGGAAAGAGCTTCACAGCTAAATCAAGCTTGAAGAAGCACATGAGAATCCACACCGGAGAGAAACCCTTCACATGCCGTCAGTGTGGAAAGAGCTTCACATGGGAAACTAGTCTCAAAAATCACATGCTGTTTCACTCAGGAAAAAGATCATTCGGCTGTGATCAGTGTGACAAGACATTTATTGTGTCAGAGCACCTGAAAAGACACATGAAAATTCATGCAGACGTGAAGCCTCATGTGTGTTCTGTTTGTGGAAAGAGTTTTTCACTACTGGAACATTTAAAAAAGCATGAGATTATTCATACTGGTGTGAGACCTTATATGTGCTTTGACTGTGGAAAGTCCTTTACTGGATCCAGCTATTTAAAATCACACCAGAGAGTTCATACTGGAGAGAAACCGTACAAGTGCTCACACTGTGGAAAGAGTTTCGCTCTGTCAGGATCCTTAAAAGATCATGAGAGAATTCATACTGGAGAGAAACCGTACAAGTGTTCACACTGTGGACAGAGTTTCACCCAATCTTCTGGTCTACGGTATCATGAGGAAAAGCGTTGTCCAAAGTTATCTAAGTGAGCAAAGTTTACATTCATGTCCATCACTTACAAGTAAATAATTAGATTTTCAGATTTGGCAAAAACTGTCATTTTAACAGAGTGACTTCATTTAAGCGAGTCATTTGCTAAAATTAGTGGTGAAGTTTGATCGTTTGACAAAGGCCAAAGTAACAGTTAAGAAAACGTACTCGGTTACTAATGTAACCTCTGTTCTCTCTAGAAGAGGGAACGAGTACTGCGTAATATCTTACGCTAGGGGAAAACCTCTTTTCCACGAGATATTGAAGCCAAAAATTATCCTTAATTTTGAATTAATGTAAAACGTGTTGCGGCAGCATGCAGACATAGGCAAGGCGGCTCGCGTGCCCATTGGCTGTCCTGCGGCACCTGCAGCAGCCTATCTAGAGAGGCCCTTTGGTGACTGTCCAATGGGAGCGCTTTGCACCCACTGCGTCACCTTCCCGCTGAAGTGGGCGTGGCCTAGCCCTATCGATGGGCTGATATCACTGGTTTTTCGCCGAAGCGAACCAGAGCGTGTTGCAGGCACGGCAAGATACGCAGTACTCATTCCCTCTTCTAGAGAGAACTGAGGTTACGTTAGTAACCGCGTAAGTTCTCTTACGAGAGGTTCTTTCGTACTGCGTAATATCTTACGCTAGGGGAACACAGTGTAAAACGCTGTGCGTGCTGGGATCCAACACCAAAGTCCCAAGGGCAGGTGCCCGGGGCTCATAGTGCACAATCACCAAGGACTCACAGAGAGTCTGAGAAGAGAGGCTAACAGCGTCATTCAAAATAAGTTAGCATCCCAAAGGAGCTAATCACTGTCACAATGTTTCACACAGGGTGAAAACATTCGGCCTGAACTGTGTAACAGTATGGGTCTTACTTTTTGCCCATGGGGTAATTTTATCAGTCAGCGAGCATTTCAAGCGATTGTAGTATTCTCGAAGCACTGGGGCAGACAGTACTTGATTTTATACCGATAGTGGTTTAGCCTGTAAGGCGGGAACCTCTAGGTTATAAAACCTTATAAATGTAGACGGGGAGGCCCAGCCTGCCGCCATACAGATATCTTGTAAGGCAATCCCGCTAGACCAAGCCCACGACGAGGCCATCCCTCTTGTGGAGTGCGCTCTAACACCTAAAGGGCACTTAAGGCCCTTTGACCTGTATGCCAGCGCTATGGCGTCAACTATCCATCTGGATAGGCTCTGTTTCGACGCGGCTAGTCCCTTAGCACGACCGCTGAACGAAACGAAAAGCTGCTCAGTCTGTCTGAAAACGGACGAGCGAGACACATAAGCTCTTAATGCCCTGACTGGGCAAAGGAAGCTTGCGTCCATCTTCTCGTTATAAACCGGCAGGGCGGACAGGGAAATAACCTGGGCCCTGAACGGTGTGTTGAGGAATTTGGCACATATCCGTGTCTTGGTTTGAGTATGACTTTCGAGTCATTTGGCCCAAATTCTAAACACGTCACGCTCACCGAGAGCGCTTGCAAATCCCCTATGCGCTTTACTGAAGCGAGAGCCATAAGAAACGCTGTCTTGAACGACTGGTGTTTCATGTCCGACAGATGCATCGGCTCAAACGGGGCACCTTTCATGGCTTCCAGAACTGTGGAAAGGTCCCACATGGGGATTGAGGGGGGTCTGGGAGGATGACCAGATCATTTTTCCCCAGTGACTGGCCAGTCGCGGGTTTTGTAAACGCAGCTATGGCCGCCACATAAACTTTGAGCGTGGATGGGGTTCTGCCCTTATCCAGCAGCTTTTGAAGGAAGGAGAGCACTTCCGTAACCCCGCAGTCTGGGGGTGAAAGCCTCAGGCTTTGCACCAGCCAGCAAACACTGACCATTTCGAGGCATAGAGTCGTCTAGTAGACGGCGCTCTAGCCCGTGTGATCGCATTCAGCACTCCCTCGAGGAGATTTGCGGGTACCTGTTGATGGCCCATGCGTGCAGGGACCACAGCTCCGGGCGAGGATGCCAAATCGAGCCCTTGGCCTGAGAGAGGAGGTCTTTCCTCATCGGTATTGGCCATGGGGCAGTGCTCGTCAGCTGCATCAGGACTGGGAACCAAGCTTGGTTTGTCCAGAGCGGAGCCACAAGGAGCACTGAGCATCCGTCTTCCCTGATTCGTTCCAACACCTGAGGCAGGAGCGAAACTGGGGGAAAAGCATAGAGCGGGCAGCGGGGCCAGACATGTGACGCATTTCTGATCGACCTTGAGGGGAAACAGACCGGAGGCCCAAGTTCGAGGCGGTACTCGTGCTATTAGCCATAACTGCAGTGGGCGCATGCGAAGCAGACCCAGCTGGAGTACTGATGATGCTGAGGCCATGAGACCCAGCATTTTCTGAAACCTCTTGAGCGGGACTATAGTGCCGCAGCGGAAGGATTTCGTGATGCGCTGAATGTTCAGTCTGCGCTCTGCCGACAGTCGCGCTGTCATAGACAGCGAGTTCAGTTCTGTGCCCAGGAAGGATATTTCCTGACTGGGAGACAGCAAACTTTTCGCCCAATTGACTGTGAGACCCAGATTCTCGAGGTGCTCGAGTAATATGGTCCTGTGTTCTATGAGCTCTGAATAAGATTGAGCTAGAATCAGCCAGTCGTCCAAGTAAAACTCGCATGCCCCGAAGTCTCAGGGGTGCGAGAGCCGCGTCCATGCACATTGTAAATGTACGGGGTGCAAGAGACAGGCCGAACGGTAGGACTGTGTATTGATATGCCTGGCCCTCGAAGGCGAATCTCAAGAATCGCCTGTGACGTGATGCTACTTGTATCTGGAAGTAAGCGTCCTTCAGATCTATTGACATAAACCAGTCCCCTTGGCGAATCTGCGCGAGGATTTTCCTGGTTGTGAGCATTCTGAACTGGCGTTTCATAAGCGCTCTTAAACACCGTCGTTTTCCTAGGAGGCTAGGAAGACTTTGAGGCCTCTGGCTTTATCTCAATCTTTCTGCCGGGGCCCACGCGGAGGGAGGGGGGGGCGGCGGCCGGCAGAGCGAGAGCGAGAGCGTGGTCTCACTGCACTGAAAACACCGTCGGCCTGAGCTGACTGTATGTGTGTTGGTTTCGTTTTACAGAAACTGTGGTACATCCCGTGTGTAGTGTTTGCGGGCACTGGGTTGTGGGCACATTCACTACATTTAAAGCACAATTGACATGACATGTGACAGGCTGTGGCCGGAATACCAGAAAATACACTGCTTATATGATTTTTCTGGGTCGCCGTGGAAACGGCATTTGTGTGCAGGCAAGCGGGCCGTGGTACCGGCTTGTTTACTGCAAAATATACTGGAACAGTCGCATTTTCTGGAACTGAACGAGCGAAAAGTTTCGGTGGAAGTCTGGCCGCGGCGAAACTAAATTTTATCTGCTGCGAGCAGATAAGGGAGCGTCATCACAGTTTTGTGTGTGTCTGCGTTTGTTTGCAGGCGTGCGTGTTATACAACAGTGCCCGGTTGCATAAAGCACCTTAAGTGTAATTTTCCCTTAAAGTCGCCCTTATGTTTCCCTTAAACCTAAGGGTGTTGCAGAAAAATACCCTTAAGTGTTACTTAACGTTTTTTTTTAAGTGAAACGTCATAAACACTTAGAATTTCCCTTAAATGCTGTTTTTTCACTTAAGTAATCATTAAGTGTTGCATAAAACCCCTTAACGGTAATTTCCCTAAGTATAACTTAAGGTTTGGAAATCGTAACCTTAAGCGTAACGCGGACAAAAATAAGACGACATGGCTGAATTTATGAAACCAGCTGAAGATCATAGGGAATAGGAAGAACCCTTTGGACCAATTTAGCCATGAAAAATTGTTGCAAGAATACCGATTTGATCGACGCGCAATATTTGACATCGCTATCAAACTAGACGGCTGTCTGTCTGTCATTACACGCGACTCGCATGTAAACTATCACAACGTTAAGTCAGTGCGCGCACGGAGAGTGTGTGGCCGACAAAAAATTCACAGGAGAACGAGCTGATTCTGTGTTTTAAATGGAATCATGACAGAAGAAAACAGGTATGCTATGGAAATATACTCAGCTGTATTTCGAGACACAGAGCCAGAAGTGCATTCACAAAACCTAAACAAATGCCAAAGCATGAGACGGTAAACAACACAAACTGCCGCCACGTTCGGAGCTAACGCGGTGTTGCGTGATAGCGTCACTGGACTGACACGTGATATTGCTGATACTCCGTCAGCAAGCGCGAGAGCTGCATGATCCTTACCCAGGCAGGAAACGCAGATGAAATGGCGGTCCCCGTCACTGAGTGCGGCTCGGCAAGAGCCACCGGAACGAAGCATCTTTAAAAAGACGCTGCTCTTTTAGATAAAGAGATAGAGTGTGAGTCGCAGCGGCGAACACACACTTATGCAGAGTGTAAAGGATATATACGGCGGATAGCGTAGCAGGAACGCGACTGAAGGGGGCGAGGTGAAGGCCAGCGGCTTCAGAATATGCAGAGGCTCGTCCCGCAGAAGGCTTTTCAAACGGCGCGGCTTCTCCAGCGATGCGTAAGCTTCGCTGAAGAGATGAAAAATCAGTGATATAAGCCCATCGAGCTATATTTATAGGGCTAGGCCACGCCCACTTCGGCGGGAAGGTGACGCAGTGGGCGCGAAGCACCCCCATTGGATCGTCACCAAAGGGCCTCTCTCGATAGGCTGCTGCAGTTGCCGCAGGACAGCCAATAGGCACGCGAGCCGCCTTGCCTATGCATGCTGCCGCAACGTGTTTTACATTAATTCAAAATTAAGGAAAACCTCTCGTAAGAGAACTATTGTGTTGCTGTGAAATGCTACAGTTTATGAAGGGAAATGTTTTATGTTGTAGAGTTAAATTAATTACATTAATTGTGCATATGAGAATTTGTTAATCAATGGCAAATTTAGTCCATGAAATCATCATCCACATCATCAACAAATCAATATTGTGATTTTTTTAGTACCACTGTTTAGAGGCTGAAGCATTGAGAAAAACATCAAAACACTGCTTCATGAAG